AATATATTAATTTAGTTACTGATGCTATTCCAGATGAGGGAGATCCAAGAGGTTGCTACATTGGCATAACTGGACACATTCAACAAGAGTTAAATCAGCTAACTCAAGAGAAATTACATCTTGGAAAGCGCCCAATTCCACAAGAAATGAGATCAGAAGTTGAACTACTCGCTAAAGAAGAAGACCAAGCAGCTAATCCTAACAAAGAAGTAATAGTTTCAACTGACTGCTTTTCATATATATTAACATTGAATCTTAGGATCCAAATGCAGAAAAAGCCAAACCTAAAGAAGGAGAAGTCACAACGCCCACCACTGCACCCACTACAAATCAGTATAAAGATGCTAAAACAAACAGTTTGTTGAACACACTTAAACGCTATTATGATGACATTGATCCTGAAATTGCTCAAAATGACGATTTACCACTACCTCCATAGTAAGTATTAAATTAGGGTTAAAAATGAGTTTTATTAAACAATTTTAATTTTAGCAAAGGAGCAGATACTAAGCGAGAGTTAGAATTTATTAAAGATCTTCGTCATAGAATTAGTTTAGGCGGTGAAAGCAAGGCACTTCCCTCAATTTGTTGTTATACCTGGCATAACTCTAATAATAAGTAATTGTTATAACATTTAATTTAATTAACGCAACTAATAGTAATTCTATTAGCATAAACTGCACTACAATGTCTGACAACTTAAATTTGATGGCCATTGGAACAAGAGATAGTTATATTGGTCTTTATAGTCTTCTAAATGAACCCTTAAGATCTCTAAAAGGCACTATAAACCCAGCAATGGTAAAAGATGGTAAATTGAAAAATCAATTTTAATATTCAAAATATTAATCAATTTTTATTTTTTTAGCTAGCGATTTAAATAGAATGAGGGAGAGAGGACTTGCAACTAATAGAAAGTTAGTTGGTCACTCAGGGCCAGTCTTTGGAATGAGTTTCAGTCAAGATAATCAGTGCTTATTATCTTGCTCAGAAGATAAAACAGGTATTTAAATACCAAAACTTTATTATTTTTAATCTAACCTCATTTTAGTGAGATTATGGAGTTTAGAAACTTACCAATCTCTTGTAGTTTATAAAGGTCACAACTTCCCCATTTGGGATGTAGATTTCAGTCCCACTTCATACTATTTCGCTACTGCTTCTCTAGATAGAACGAGTAGATTGTGGTCTACAGATCATCCTTCCCCCTTAAGAGTATTCACAGGGCATCTATCAGATGTTGATACAGTTAAATTCCATCCAAATTCAAAATACTTAATGACAGGGTCTACTGATAAAACTGCTAGACTTTGGGATGTAAACAGAGGAAGTTGTGTTAGAGTATTTACAGGACACACTTCTCCAGTTTATAAGATTGCAGTATCACCCGATGGTAAATCAATGGCTACAGCTGGTAAACTATAAATATAATTTAAAATATATAATAATTATTAACATGAATGAAATATAGGTATTGACAACAGTATCATGGTTTGGGACTTAGGCAGTGGTAGAAGATCCTACCACTTTGAACTTGGCGGTTCAGCTATACTCTCTCCAAAAACAGTTCACTCTCTAGAATTTTCAGCTGATAGCAATGTACTCTTCAGTGCCGATAGTGATTGCTCCATAAAGATTTGGGATGTAAAATCAAATATAGAGAATGTACATCAAGATAATGATCAAAATGGAATTGAAAAGTAATTCATAAACTTTATAATTTAGATTATTACTAACAAGGGTGATTAATTTAGGATTGATGAAGATTTGAGTAAGCCTAAGGGATTAATTAGCGAATTCAAGACGAAAGGCACACCAATTAAGTATCTCAAATGTACAAGAAGAAATTTACTCCTCGGAGTTGGTACCTTTAACACTTTGTAATCTTATTCAGTCAAGAGACTATATTTTATAAAACTTATATTTAATCCAAATTTTTTAATAAGTCTTATCACTTAAATTTATTAATTTCATAGTTATTAGAGTTATTCAAATTTGAAAAATTTCCTTAATTTTAAGAATTCAACATGCTTTTTTATATATTAGGAATTTATTTATAAATTAAAATTCCTATTTTTTTGATACTTTTCAATTATGATGATTATGTGATTATTATAATATACTATTCTACTTTGAATATTAAATTATATGAATATTGGCTAAAAACTATTTAAAATAAAATTTTAATGTAAAATTTTTCGGGTAATAATAATCCCTTAAATAGGGATAATTGAATTAAATAATTGACCAAATTCGAAGTAATTTGTGTGATCAACTGCCAAATTAAAACTTAGTGAAAATACACAAAAAATAAAATTATAAATAGAATTTAAGTCACCTTACATCTCTTTTTTCTTTAATCTATTAATCATTGAAAATAAATATTAATGGCACCTCTTAATAAAAAAAGCAAATCTGGAAATGAAAAATTCGAAGCTAGGGAGCTCGAATTAAAGAGTGCTCCCGATGGCTCTAGTCAAAAGTCCCAATCTACTTTCTTATTCATTGCCAAATTATTAATTAATGGGGCTATTATTACCCTTCTCGCCTCTTATTTAATAACTCGTACTTGGACCTTTGGTATTCAAAATAAGTGGACTAACTGGAGAACTTATGTTCCTGTATTTTATACTTATTCTTGTATTAAATTTTAATTTAACTATTTTTTTGATAGTTACCTCAAAAAGTTTTCACTCCTGAAGAACTCAGCAAATATACTGGCAAAGACCCTAGCTTGCCTATTTATATTGCTATCAAGTAAGCTAAAATAGTTATTTTCTTAAATTAACATTTAACCAAACATATTTTATTCTAGTGGAGATGTATATGACGTTACGGAAGGTAGACAATATTACGGTCCAGTAAGTTAATATACAATACCATGTTAATAAGTATTCTAAACATTATTTTTCTCAGGGAGGTGGTTATCACTTCTTCTCCGGTAAAGACGCTGCCAGAGCTTACGTTACAGGATGTTTTAAAACTCACTTAACCCACGATTTGAGAGGATTTGACGAAAACGATATGGAAGTAAGTATACTAAGCACCCAATTAGCACTATATTAACATATATTTTATAGTCAATTCGTGGTTGGATGAAATTTTATGATAATCACCATAAATACTACAAAGTAGGTATAGTTAAAAATCCTCCCATTGACCCTAACTCTCCTCTTCCAGAGGATTGTACAGCATCAAAGAAATCTGAAGAAGGCTTAAATAAGGCTAATAAGAAACCTTAATCAAGCATTATATAAAATGGATATTTTTATCTCAATGCTTGATAATTTTTTGTTCAGTTTCGTAATTTAAATAAATATCGATTACATATTGTTGATTTTAGCGAAAAATGGTGTATTTATTTGGAAAGCTTAGATATATATAAATATTATAAGACTATTTATATACGATTTAAGCTGTTAAAATATATTAGATGATATAAATTTATTAAACTTATAAATTAATAATTAAAAATATTTAGTTATATTCATTATTGGGTTATATATATAATTAAATTGGTTATTTTTTATCAATATTAATTTTTTGGTTTAATTTTAATTATAAAAATATATTTTAAATGTTTTCAGAAGTAAAAATAATAAAATATCATTAAGATGCAAATCCCACTATTATTAGTATAATCAATAATAGATAGCTTACAGCTAAAAAGTTTGCTCTAGGAGGTGATTATTACTTCTTCTCCAGCAAAGATGCTGCTACAACTTATGCATCCGAATGCTTTAAAACTCGCTTAACTCATGGTATTAGAGGCTTTTGAAGAAAATATAACTAACTATAGAAGTATTATATTAATGTGTAAGTACACTTAATTCGTAATTGAATGGATTTTTATAAAATCACCACATTTATTGCAAAAACTATAATGGTTAAAATCCTGCAACTGGCCCTGATTCTCCTATTCTTGAGGATTTTACATCAATGAAGAAGATTTGAGTAAAGCTAATAAGAAGTCATAATTAACAGTTATACCATAATTTTATTATTTATTCAGTTTATTTTGTTTGCTTAAATAAATATTGAGTTTAATGGCTTATTATTATTAGAGAAAACTATGTGACGAAGGTAACTGTGGTTTAATAGATATTAACTTGTTAAAATATATAATTTAGTAGCTGCAATAAATCTTAAATATAGATATTATTATGTGATAACCTATTGCATTATACATACCTCTATATTAATAACCATTACAAACAATGACTGAATGTGGCATTTGAAAATACATGTTATATAACATTATTAAAATCGCTTATATCAAGAGTCAAATATACTATATGTAGAAATATGTATTTAAATTATATATTGCATGGATTATAATTTTTTTCAATTTTATACAATATTTTAAACTAGACGAAGATAAGTCAGGATACTTAATTCTTTAAATATCACTTTTTTCTTTCTAAAGGAAAAATTAATAAAAAAATCAATATAAAACTCACACTAAATAGCCAATTCTTCTTATGTTTTCTCTCTTTATTATTTCTTTCGTAAGATTATTTGTTCTTAGTTAATCTATAACTGAAAGGCTTTCTTGTAATAGAAAATTCACCTAATTTATGACCAACCATTTCTTCGGTAACATTAACGGGAAGATAATGTCTACCATTATGAACTAAAAATTTAGCTCCAACAAAACTGGGGATAATAGTACAGCTACGAGCATTAGTTTTAATGGGGACTTGGTCAACAATACACTTCTTAAGGTTGGGGAAAGTAACGAAGAAGGGACCTTTCCAGATTGAGCGAGGCATTTTTAGTATATTTTAATTAGATTTATGGGTGAGGATTTCGAATGTTAAAATAAATATAGGTTAAATAAAGTTTAAATAATTTGTTATATTATTATTTAATTATATATTATATACTAGTTATTACTCTATTTAATTTTATAAATTAGTCAACTTGGTAAAAATTTATTTGAGTGTGAAATTGATTAATAGGAATTATGGGATTATAGTGCTAAATAAATAAAAAGAATATGACAACGATGAGATTCGAACTCATGCCTCTTTCGAGATCGGAACTTGAGACCGACGCCTTAGACCAACTCGGCCACATTGCCATACTTTCCAATAAAACATAAAATTTTTATATTATGAAAATTGATATAAAATGAATTTTGAGTATATTTTTTATTATTATACAGCTACTTATTTAATCTTTTATTCATTTTAACACTATTTCCTTCATCTATATATTATTACTCTTATACTAATTATCATATTATATTATGTTTATAAATCTCTTTTATCGTTATCTATACTTTTTCATTCATATATTTTATCCCACATTTTTCAATTTTACTCTAAAAATATAAATTTTAGCTAATCTCGTTTTTATTATTTTATAAATTATATTAATAGAATTTATCAATGCAATTATAAA